GCACGCACGCACGCACGCACGCACGCACACACCCACACACACACAGACACACACACACACACAGACACACACAAACACACAGACACACACAGACACACACAGACAGACACACACACACACACACGGGCACGGGCTTGGGCTTGGGCTTGGGCACGGGCACAGGCACAGGCACGCACGCACACACACACACACAAAAAAAAAGGGCCTGCGTGCGGATAGGAACCGTGACGCTGGAGAGAAGCATGAGTAAACGACCCACTCCGGTTACGATGACATAATACATGACTTCCTTGCCCCATCTCGCTTTGCGCCTTGCTGTGCGCGGCCAAACACAGGCCGCAGCATGGGCGTCGTGTCCGGTGTGTCCTGCGCAATGGAAAAGGTGTGCTCTCCTCGAGGACCTAACAAATATAGAAGGTAACACCAAGGTGGGTGAAACATGAGGGATGAGCTATGCCAACTGAACTGCCGAATGCGGCAAACTTTGTCCATCCTGCCAAGAATAGATGGAGAAAATGCCACTCAGCATATACAGCATGCATGTATCTATATGATACGAAATCCACACACCCCTGTCCCCTTCCTGTAGCGTCGATTTGCTGTCCGCTACGATCCAGCCTCCCAACACTGGACCACGATCTCTCAGCTCCACATGTCAAGGGTGGTTTACTTTAAATGGTTTCCACCAATCCAACAAAGTGTATCCAACAAATGACCCATGTTCGTTTGACAAACACCACTATGCATAAACGATGATGGCCTAACTGTGCTAGCGAAGTCAAGCTAGCAAAGACTCTTCCAAAGAGATGCTCGACAATTCCACCTCTGCGCAGTTTACCCAGCTGCCTTCGTGTTGTCTTCGTTGATCGCTGGCATGGTTGTCATACTGCTGACACAGTATGTACTACCACAGGCACCGGTAGTGGAAAAGTATTTATGTAGTGCAAGCATAATGTGTCGCAACAGTGGCTTGGAACAAAGTTTGATTTAAAGTAGTGTTTGTATTGGTCTAGCCTTGGCTACGAGAATAGCTCTTGTGCTTGCAGCAACGCACTAGCATTTGTGACAGCCGCCCTATCAAACACATCCGAAAGTGGGTTGCTCACGGTTTATTGAAAGCGTTCTTTTGCAAGGGAGCTGCTGAAGGCTCTTCTCTCCTCCCAAAACTTAGCCGAGTACAATCCCGAAAGCTTTTTGCAAGGGAGCTGCTGAGGGCTGGAACCCTCCTCCCAAAACTTAGACTAGTAAAATCCCGAAAGTGGGTTGCGCACGGTTGGTTGAAAGCGTTTTTTCCAAAACAGCTGAAAGCTTTGGGGTCTCAGCCCAGATAGGCTCCGGGGTGGTCCGGGGCGGCCCTGAGGTAAGGTTCCCCGAGGGTTCCACGAGGGTTCCACCACGGTTCGACCAGGGTTCCACGGAGGGTGCGAGCACTAAAAGAGTCAATGCATGCTGTTGGGGATATCACCCACCTGAGCTTATTGCACATAGGCGTCCTTTTAGGGGAAATAAATGGCCCTGCTAGGTGATTAAACTACCAGGTAAACCAGGAATCGAAACCCATCTATTTTCCATCTATTTTTCTACCAACCAGGACCAAAAAGGACACCTCTGTGTTCTCCACTCCGAGTAAAATCCAGGTCTGCTTGTGTGGCTTCCCCATCGTCCGGTCCGCGGGCCTCAGGGATCAGGCTGGCGCAGAGCACTTTCAAGGCGTCAGAGTCTCGCAGCCAAATGTGATCCGAGGTGAACTGGTTCCCCCTGGCGACGAGACTTGATCCATGTCTCTTTTGGAGGGCACCCCGTTTTTCTTGTTCGTTTACATATATATATATATATAGATAGATTCCCGTTTCGGTAGGTATTAACAAGAGAAACCAACAGGACGACCCGTCATTTCGGAGGGTCCCCCCCAAAAAATAGACACCAATATGGCTTTCTGCGCAACTGCTGCGGTGCAAGGGCTTGAGATGAAAAGCCGAATACCTGAAACCATGGCAAAAAGGCAAGAACAAGACCTAGATTTAAGACAACACCTGAACCATCCCACCCTCGACCTCCAAACAAGCGGAGTAATTTGAGGCTCCCCCACATCCGCGCGTGCCTGTGGTCGCAGTGGGTGACCAGGCAGGGTTTTGGGTGTACCTCCTCCCAGGCGTTCCGGAAGCCAGCCTGCGCCAGCTGCACGTGGCTTGAGGCTTGGTTGGATGTCTTGGACCCCCCCAGAAATGGATCTCGGTTCTTCCTTTCCCATCAAACGCAAAAGGGTAGGACTTTGCGGGAACGCGGGGATTGGGAAGTCCCCTGTGGCGATGGGGAAAGTAAAGTTCCAGCTACGTAAGTTCTATGGATGTGGGCCAGTCTTTTTTGGGAGGTGTTTTTTTCCTTTTTGGGTTCCCCTTGAAAACCAACCGAAAGGGGGTCCCCCAAAGAAACACACACACACACATATCTTGTGGGGGTTCCTGTTTGGGTTTGGACATATGGCCCGAATCATGCACCTCTTCTTGGCCTGATTCGAAGAACCGTTTGAATCGAGGAAGTAAATGTACAAACCAAGCATTGGACATGTTGAGATCACACTCAAAACTTTCATCTGTGTGGGAACGGACGAAGCCTAGCAATTCAGAACGCGCCTCGCATACTGCGACAATCTACAGGGATTGAGGGATAAACCACCCATGACTACGGTCTGTGTGGTAGAGGGTCAAGTTGGTGTCGCGGAGAAAACCGAAAACCCCAATGGTTACACTCGGTGTGCCTCTCAGCTTGTGTATTCATGCCTGTCATTCTGCCATCAAATGCTTTCCCTATTTTGGATGGACACAATCCACTTCGCACCACTTGGGCTGGTGGTTTATCCGAGAATCTCTAATCGGGCGTCATCCATCGCACCTGGTGCAGGATACTGTGCATCCACAGTACCCTAGTGTTCAAAACTTCACATAGGCTTGAACAAGGCACATCCGAACATCGGGCATTTTCCGGGATCGTTCGTCAGAATTGGCGAGCATATCTGCAATGGCAGTTTGGCTTGAATGCAGGGCATATGATGAAGATTCGACACAAGCCTTTGTGTATAGAGTGTCAATCTTGAGCCAATCAGAATAGCTCTACACTTGGCGAAAGCAAATGGTACAATAGCCTTTCCTTTCTGTGGGTAAAGGGAATGACTACACCAAATGGAAATGGTGCCTTTGCCCACGCCCAATTCTCACAGTGGCAGAGGAACACTTGGGACACTGAGCCGGGAAAGCGCTACCCATCTCTCTCCTAAACGGCCCGAACGGGGTTCGAACCAGTCCTTTGACCTAAACCCAAGATGCCACAGACAAAGGAACGCTGCAGGCCACAGAATCAAGAAAACATCAACCAACGTGGCGATTCAGCTGGACAACTTCTGACAAGCATTCCCCAGTAGAATTGCAATGTTGTTGAAATCGCACCTGTACTGTTGGTGACAAAGGTCGCTCTTCAGAGATCAACCCGTGGTGTATGTGCTGCTATTCTTTTTCAGTAGCCCTGAGATTTGTCTAGGTCCTCCAGTAGAAATGTTAGAATAAGGGTACCTTTTTTTCTGTAGTCTATTTTGGTACGGGAACCCTCCCCCAAAAACGAAAAACGGTAAACGTGCAACTAGCTGGGGGGACCTAGCCAACGCTTCAGAAGCGGCGTGTTCAGACCTTCCCGTCGCCTGCTTCAGGCGAAGGCCCACAGGGTCGCCGCTCGGACCATTGAGGTCCTTGCGACGGATCGTCATTGCAGGCATGGGTCAACACCCAAATCGTACCCCCAGCGAACATCCCAATCGCCACTAAAATGGAGTAAACTGGGTGCACCTACCCCAAAATGGTACCATTGGTTTTGACCCGTAGCTCTTAGCGCCCCCCACCCTATTCTAGGTCCTCCAGTAGAGCGGTTGGAATAAGGGTCCCCGATTTTCTTTCTGTGGTCTATTTTAGCAGGGGAACCCTCCCCCCAAAAAGGGTAAGAGGGCAGTACTGGGGGACCTAGATATAGCTGTTAGCGCTCCCCACCCTATTGAGCTCTGAAATTCAGGCACCAGTAAAGGGTAACTTATTGTTGCCTTGACCAGACTCGTAATTGGTGGTTTGGATTGGGGTGGTTTAGGGGGTAAGGCTCACTTGCGATCGAGTGGACTGGCCAACAAAAGTAGCCAAGCTGTTTGTTTGCGACTAAAATGGTCGAAACCCGAAATGCTTAAGCTCAGAGAGTGAGAAGGGGTACATTCCCATTTGGCCGGAGCAAGAGGTTCAAGTCTCCAGACCAATTCAAACCACCAAAGGAGAATCTGATGCGATCGCACGTCCTGAGAGGATTGGCAAAAGAAAGTCTGAACTTTTTGTGTTTTTACCCCGCCCCCCCTTCCCAATCCCAAAAAGTGATCCTAAAGCCCGAAACGAAACTCAGGAAGTGAGACGACTTCCCTACCCCCACCCTCTCCCTCCCCGGTTTCGGCTCCCATCAACTCGACAAGCGGCCCCTGCCAAGAGTAGCGGCACGCCTGGCCTCAGGTTGCTGCCGTTCGGGGGGGGGGGTCCTTGCCTCTGATTGGGGGGTGTTCCCTTTTCCCCAGTCATCAGACCTGCCACTCGAAGAACCTGCACAAAAGTGGGGATGGGCAGCAAAACCTGTTTTTTTGCACATGCTACTCGTCGAAGACCAGGTTTTGGAGTAGCAGGATTCCATTTACCTCGTAACAGGCACTTGCCACCCATTGAACACAAAAGAGGAGAATGTGTGTGGGTGGTGGTTGGTGTTCCTGCCGGGGCTGTGCTATGTGTCAAACCGGGAATACCTTGTGACGCATTGCACAAGCACATCAACATGAAACGCATTTGGAAATCCTAGCATTGGCCACATTCCTATCAAGAATATGCGTCCTTCACCATGCTCCAGGTGGCTGAGAACTCTTAGATGTCAGCGCTCTGTTCGTTCAGGTGAGCCGTGCAACATGCCGCCATGAAAGCAAGTCCGCTTTT